TTTTTTTTCTTTTTTTTCTTTTTCTTTTTTTTCTTTTTTTTTTTTAAGCCAACCGTTATTAGAAACTGTAAGTTTGCTACAAGTATTGTACCAGATTTTGTCATTGTTTTTTGTTCCTTTATTAAGTTTTGGTTCAAAACACTCTCAAGTCTATGATTTAACAGAGATTCAACATTTATGTTGCAAAAAGGCAACAAAAGCCATAAATAGATAAAACCATAGAGACTTTTTCCAAGAAGTAAAAAAACGAAACAAGTCTAGGAAGCCAGAATTTGAGTGATATTTAAAAAATGATTTGAATACGATGCTTCTGTTAATTTAATATTGTTACATGACTTCTTGACTTTTTTTTTTTTTCTGTTGGGAAACTGTTTATGCTGCAATGGGCATGATTGTCTGGAGATGAAATGAAATGTGTGTGTTTGGGGTGGGGGGAGGCTGGACTATATCTGCTCAGCTGTTGCTCCGAAGCTGGAGTTGTGCGTGGTCATGCATTGTGGTTTGTTTTTAAATAACAAATTCTGCTTCCCAGGGATGCCTGAGCTGGATGAGTACACAATGGAAAGGGTCATAGAAGAGTTTGAACAACGATGCTATGATAACATGAATCATGCTATTGAAACAGAAGAAGGACTCGGGATTGAATACGATGAAGATGTTGTCTGTGATGTCTGTCAGTCTCCAGATGGAGAAGATGGCAACGAAATGGTGTTTTGTGACAAATGCAATATTTGTGTGCACCAGGTATGGCAGCTAGGGAACTGAAAGGAAGTGTAGGGGTGGTAACAGAAACAGGTAGCCCAACTGCTAAAGATGATAGATTGGATTTTTCCAGTGACAGATGCTGATCTTCTAAGCTGGTGCAGACTCTCTGTTGAGCAATGGGATGAAATCAGAAATGACAGAATTGAGAAATTGTGGCAGGTTAGAAGCCTTTTTAGCATGGAACAGCAGATACAATTCTGGCATACCTGTTTTCCTGGCTGCTTCTTAATATGGAAGATGCCTTTTTTTTCAGCTTGTCCTTCCTTCAGACTCAAAGGGATTTACTTTGTCACTCAGCATTTGGAAGCTGTGTTGTTCATAGGCAAGAGTGGCATTTACTTGCACATGTTTCTTAGATGTATTTGTACAAACAGTAAAGAAATACTTCTAAGAAAACAGTAAGGTATGAATCTTACCTACAAACTGTAAGGTATTTTACGAAGTACTCTTGAGAGTAATCTTTATGTTTTTAGACCTGTAACAGTTTCATTTTAGTCTCTGATCACATAAAATCCAACAATTGAAGGTTAAATTGAGACTACAGTGGAGGTCTCCATAAAGACAGTTTTTGGGGTGGTTGGGGGGAGTGATTTTAGTTGCTTATTTTGCACTTTTCCTTCTGAATAAGAGGGAAGAAAAAGTGCTTTGGAATAACATTGGGTATCACGCAGCAGTGCTCTTGAATTGGTAGTTGTCATCTTGTGAAATAGATACAGCCCATTTCCTGGTACGTGTAGTCTTTGTGACATTGAACTTCATCCTCTCTCATTGCTTGCGGAGCTGTCTGTTGGCATTTGCCGCACTCTTCAGTGGGGTGAACAAATTCCTGATTGAAGAATGGGCATTGTTCTTTTGTGTAAGAACTCGTCATTACTTCTGTCAGTGAAAGGTCTGTGAGAGAAGTGAATGGGTCATGTGTTTGGCTAAGTGCATGAAGGTGTCCTGAGATTCTTTACAAACTGATGTTTCTGATGTTATCAATTCCATGGGAATATCTTAAGAGTTTTGAAAGACAGTGTGTAAACAGCTAAGAAGTAGCATAAATGTGTGCTGTATCCTCTGTCTTCTTTCTCTTTCCTACAACTGAGTACAGGCCTGTTACGGTATCCTGAAGGTGCCAGAAGGCAGCTGGCTGTGCAGGACCTGTGCTCTTGGTGTTCAGCCCAAGTGCTTGCTGTGTCCCAAGAAGGGTGGTGCCATGAAACCGACCCGCAGCGGCACCAAGTGGGTTCACGTCAGCTGCGCTCTATGGATTCCAGAGGTAGGCACTGACCTGCTAGAGTGCCCATGTTCAGAGAAGCAGATTTTGGGAGAGAAGAATCCGTCTGAAACATTGTCCAGTCTACTGTGTGTTGCTGCAGGGATGAGCATAGATATATATGGTACTTCTTAACAAGGTGGTATCAAAGATTTTCATTTAGATGTAAAATCTAGCAGGATGATCTGAAAAGTAAGTAATTACGTTAACCTTTGTCAATCAGAATTGGCTGTCAGAAGGGATAACTGCTGGCAAGGCTCGTTTAACAAATGCACAAATACCATTTTAGTTTGTAAACCAAAATTGAGGAAAAGTTGAAATGTGACAGTGAGAATTCCTATGGGTTCTCGTAATTGAAATACTCATCCTCTGCAATAACTTTAAATTGATGGTGTTCATTGTGAAACTCTTTTCATGCGGTGAGGAACTAATTTTTTAGAAAGCTGTACTTCAGTTCCTTACAAACTGACTAGCTTTGAACTTGCTCATTTTAAGATTTCTTTGAGATTGCTTCCTTTTTCAGTTATAGGTGTAATAATCACTCTGTTTTTTAATATTTTTTTTCTCTTAGGTGAGCATTGGAAGCCCAGAGAAGATGGAGCCCATTACCAAGGTTTCTCATATTCCCAGCAGTAGATGGGCATTGATATGCAGCCTTTGTAATGAAAAAGTTGGTGCTTCCATACAGGTAATTTAATAACACGAGTGACTGTGTTTCCTAGTTTTTTAGGAGATAAGCCTGATGCGTATCCACAGTCAAACTTTGATTTCATGTTTGCTTCTATGAACTTAACTGCGCTCAAAGTGCTTTTGAAAGTTACTGTGCTCTTTCCTTCTAGTAAAGTTGTAATAAAAATAACCAAGTTAACCCAGGGACTTCTAATTTCTAGATTGGCTGGTAGGTTTATTAGTACTGAAATTAAAATTTGTTGAGTAGAGGAAAGAAAATATATTTCTGTGATGTATCATGTACAGAAATGAAGTTTGAATCCTGAATGCTTCTGTTTTGAAACCCTTGTGAATGTCTATTGGTGATTTATAAGGCAAGTTGGATACTTCAGTGAGAGTTTTACATTGCCTGTAACAAGTAAAATCTGGGCATGCTCAGCACCTTTAGAATTTAAGTCAGTGGAAGTGAAAATCTTTATTTTGATGATTGATCTAGTTGTGTTGTAGGTACTAAACATTGGAGTGATTGGGTTTTCAGGATAGCTGGGATTAGAGTGATTTCAATCTTGGCTTTTATTGCAAAGGAGGCAGTGAAACTATGGGCCTTTCTTTTTTTTCTGTACTTTATTGTTGGTCCAGCTTTTATTTTACTGAAGACAGTATCTGATCACATAATACCAGGCCTTTGAACACTAAGAAAGAAAGATTGCTCTACTGATCTGCCCCAAGATTCAAGTAAGCCACATGCTGAGGAAATGGGCTCCATTTCCTCCATAGGTTGTGGGTAGATTCTGGAGCTCTTGGTGTTTCCAGGGGGAGGAAAAAAAAACCAAAACAACAACAAAACACGGCCTCCTGGCTGTAAATTTCCTAGCTCACATTGCTGTAGATGCAGTGCCACATTATCATTCTGGCTTCTAGTACTCAACTGAGCTCAGCTTTGATGACATAAAAATGTTTAAATTCTTGAGTGTTTCCTTTTCTTCTGCGTTGAGTCATTTGGTGACACTGTCTGAAGAAGTTGTAAAACAGCAACACAGCAGTAGTTTCAATGAAACCTGTCAGTCTGTTTCCATTCAAGGAATGTATAAAATAGTGGGTTTTAAGTAGAGAAAATAAATCTGTCCACAGTATATAAATTTGTAAACAGACTGCCTCCTTGCAGATCTGTCCCTTTTCTCTTGGCAGTTGTTACCAAGAGAAACTGTTTTGTCCATTCTCCAGACCTGTTTTGAGGAGTAACGGTAGTAGTTTAAGTTGAACACTGATCAGCTGTGTGTGTATGACGGAGAGGGGTGTCCTTGCATAGCTCCTCTGGTAACACCTCTCCCTTCTGCTGACATACACAATGATTGCCCCTTTAGACAGTTCAAAATTTGAAATTATAGAGGAGACAAGAAAAATTCCAGTTTTTCCTGACATCTCAAAGGAATTGTGTAAAAATTTTGGTATCGTTAAAGCTAGGAATGAGAAATACTTAGATTTGTGTTGTGAAATCTTAAACAGCAGACAAAAATGTTTTACCAAAAAAGAAGTTACTATGCTATACTATGCTATGAAGGAATAGCATTACCTGGCTGAACTGGGGGGGGTGGAGGGGAAAGGAGAGATCCTCTGGAGTGCAGTGTTAGGACATGTTCATGGTAACTAGAAAAGCAGGCAGCTGATGGTATGCATCAGGCTGGGCAAAAACAAAGCTGTGTGTTCTCCTAAGTCCTGCAGATTTTTTTCCAGTGATGCAGAATTGTCCCTTTCCTCCCAGTGAAGCATCAGCCTCACTAAGACTTAAGTTCTCTAAATGATAGCAGCTTAGAAACTGGCTGAAGTATTCTTTTGTACAGTTTGATTCTGCTTTTGCTCTGTTTGTTATTAACAGAGGAAAAGCCAAAAGGTGGTTTTTTTTTGGTTTTTTTTTTTTTTGGTTTTTTTTTTGTTTTTTTTCCAATTACTTTTTTTATATTTATTATTGAATGTTCATTGGAAACTTTTGCAGTAAAGTTTTTTAGTATACTCTTCATATGGCATCTGGCTGCTGAATCAACCTGAGCAGGTAAACCCAGGAAAAGATATTTGGCTTCTTTACAAAGTGCTGTACAAACATCCAGGCACAATGCATTTTTCTTTAAGGTTAGATGGCTTGAGTTAAGCACAGTTAACATCTGTAACATTGATTTCAACCTCAAATTCTTTTCACTTGTGGGAGAGGTGTGAGTTGATGCGTGTGTGTGTGTATTTAAATCTTTCAGTTTATGACTGGTAATAGCTATGACAGCATTTTGCAAGAAGAAGTTACTTAAAACTGAAATGAAGTGCTGAATCATCTGAACAAGTGCCCATCACTCCAGGGAACAGATGGTTCGCTGGGAAGGAAGAAAAAAATAAGAAAAAAGAATTCTCATTCTCTTGTGCCCCATGTGAAATGAAGGCTGTAGCAATTGAAAGAGTGATTGACCGTGGTGTAATATTTGACATTATAAACTTTTGGCAATGGGAAAAAATGTAACCCATTCAGCTGAGGCCTTTTGGGTAGCATGGGTCCAAGTGCTGGGAAGACTTGAATTAAGAGCATCAAACTGGCCTGGAGCCGGCAAGTTGTATTTTCCCTCTCTCACGCTGACACAGTGGAAGGGGGAATGTTTTGCTTTGTGTAACACTGTTCTCAGCAAGTGGCTGCAGTCAAGGTAAGAACACTCCTCTTGTGGGTTTGCTGATTATCGAATGGGGGGATTGAGCCAGGGAGGGATTAACCACTCCTGTCCCACTGGGCCACTTGGTTGTTGCCTGGCCTGAAAGCACTAAATTGCAAGTCTAATTAAAAGAGAGCCAAAAGTACAGGCTGCTTGGAAGCAGAGGCTGTTAACAGGGTCGATTCTTTCAAAGCAGTCCTGGCTGCTTAAATAGTTTTAGGCAGTGTGGCTTCCTAAGTTTATGTTTGATGAGTTTTAATCTAATTTCTGCAGTGTTCAGTGAAGAACTGCAGAACAGCCTTTCACGTCACTTGTGCATTTGACCGTGGCTTGGAGATGAAGACCATACTGGCAGAGAACGATGAGGTGAAATTTAAGTCATACTGTCCCAAGCACAGCTCCACCAAGAGAACAGATGATGAGACCTTCAATGACCACCTGTGTCAAGAGAATGGGAATGGGATTCAGGACAGCTCTCTTCCTGCCCACATGGACCCTTTCCACAGCATGGATCAAAACCAGGAGGAAGCCCACAGAGTCAGTCTCCGCAAGCAGAAGCTCCAGCAGCTGGAGGATGAGTTCTATACTTTCGTGGAGTCTCTGGAAGTGGCTAAAGCACTGCGGCTGCCTGAGGAGCTGGTGGGATTCCTTTACCAGTACTGGAAGCTGAAAAGAAAAGCCAACTTCAATAAGCCATTGATCACCCCAAAAAAGGATGAGGAGGATAATCTGGCGAAACGAGAGCAGGATGTTCTATTCAGAAGACTACAGCTCTTCACACATCTACGGCAAGATCTGGAGCGGGTAAGCTCTGTGCTGCCTGTGGTTGCGTAACGTGCACTGGGCTTCATAGCTGAGTTTCTAAACAATATGCCCAGTTATTGCCATTGTGTGCAGGCACTACATGCTGTGTCCTAAATCAAAGTTGTATTGTCAGCCTGGTAAAAGACAGTTAACACTAAATTTTGGGTTATGCCAAGTACCATTTCCAAACAGAGGCTTAATTCGCAGGGCTCTTAGTCTGCAGCATGCAGTATCCATGTAACTGGATTGTGCATTTAGGCTTTTTTTTTTTTTTTTTTTTAAACTGATTAAGGCCAATGGCTGTGGAATGTACCACAACCCCCACAGGGAGCCTTTTCAGTCAGTAAGGGCTTTCTCTGCTCCTTTTTGCCCAAGGAGGAAAGTATATGAAACTTACCTTGACTTGGGGCCAGCCTGATTTTCGTTTACACAACATTGAGAGATGCTTCTGTTCAGTGTGTTCAAGATTTATCTTCCCTTCGGTCTGTTAAATAAATTAAGTTTATCATTAGGTTCTCTGGATCTTAAATTATTATGTGAGTATGCTTTTGGTTTTTAAAGTGTGGTGTCAAAACAGGATATGTTATTCTAGCATTGATTTTACATTTTACAACTCTGTTCTCACTGATAGATACATCTGTCACTTCCCACCCATGAATGGAAGGAAGAGTGATCAGGTTGGCAAATCCCTCCAGTTAGATTAAGGTCCATACTAAAGTTGATTGTTTTTCCTCATGTAAGAGATTCTGATAAAACAGTTATCCTATATGTGTTGGCCCTCCTACAGTTCTGTCTACCTAAAAAGCAGTTCTGTAGGAAATTCAAGTAAGCCTTGCACAGCTTAACACCTTTGGGAGAAAGAGAGCAAAAAGTATTAAAAGAGAGAGAGAGATCATCCATTGTGGGTCCAGCACCAGGCCTGGCTATGAAGGTGTTCTGTGTGACAAAGAAAACAAGCAGCAGCAGTTGCCCTGAGCAACCCCTATTTATAGTATCATAGTAAAAAGGGAAGGGACTTTTTTCCCCCACACCACAGCCCCATTTTGGAATTGAAGTTGAATCCAGCACCAGGGTTGGTTGGAAGACAAGACCTGAGCCACATCTTGACCGAGACAAATGGACGCCAGCCAAACCAAAGGAGGTGGCACTAGACATCTTTCTGTGACTTGATTGTTTCTCAGACATTGTTCTGGACCTTTCCAGGAGTGTTGAGACATCAGTCAAAAGAAGGGAAGAAGCATCTAGCCTCCTCCTTGTGGCTTTACTGCCTCTTGAGTGTGGACTCATATTAAGAGTCACCTGGGGCTCATCCTTTATAACATCCAAGTGAAGTTGGTTGCTAAAAAAAATAAATAAATTGGTTTTTGATCCTCTTCAGGAAAATGCCTGTTAGATTTTGCTATGAATGACATCAGTGACAGTGTCATCCATCCAGAAACGTTTTTAAGTGGTGTCATCTAGTTCATCTAATAATTAGTAGTTTTGTGGACATATCTGTTGTTCTGTGGCTGGATCACATAAGGCAAAGAACAAAGGACCATGGACTGTATCAGGCAGGGTCTTGGCAGAGGAATCCCTTCTAATTCAAAGCCACAGCATAATAACAGTGATGTAATATTTGTAATACTGGCTGTGGAAGATCTGGAAGTCTAATACAGCAGAACTTCAGCAAAAAAACTCACGCATTAAAATAGACCTGCTCCTTAATCATAGAATAGCTTGGGTTGAAAGGGACTTCAAAGATAATCCAGATGTTCCAGCAGAACGTCCTTGCTGTGGGCAGAGTTGCCAATCACTAGCTGAGGCTGCCTGGTCTCGGTGTCCAACTGAGGTAATCAAGGAGAACACTGCCTGTACTTCTGATACCTTCAACATCCTTCTAAAGGACATAAAGTCTCTTAATATCTTGTAATTTCCCAGTTGCGGCCTCCTGTGACCCAGCTTGAGAGAGCAGGAGCAGATAGTTGTCCTCTGGCTCTAAGAGCCCTGGTCTGATCCTTGTAGTCAGTGGTTGGACTAACACGGTTGTCCCTTTCAAGGTTTGAACTGTTACCTGCACCCCATCCTCTTTACATCCCTTTGTATCTGTTGCTTAGGAGCGCTTCGAGAGCAAGGGAGTGGCTCCTCCTGTTCCAAGAAGAGACATGCATCCAATTTCCCTCATGCTGCATGGCTTTTTGCTGTCTGGCTGCTGAGGGCTGGAAGTCTGCTTAGCTTCTTCCCCTTGCAGGGACTTAAGGCAGGGCTATTGGTCTGCTTGTGTGACTGCACAGTACCACGTATCGATCTCTCTCTCTGATTGCTGAATATTTCTCAGCATGGTGATTTTCTCTGGCAACCTGGCCCCCTGTTCAGGGTAGATAGAGTTCATCTAGCTGTGCACACCCAGGACACCCCCTTCTGCCCTCTGGCCCTTGGGGAACCCCCAGATTCTGGAATCCCCACAACCAAAAGTCTGGGCAGCTTTGCTCTGTCGCTCCTTGGAAGGTCCATCTGCATGCACGTGTCATTCCAGGGCTGTTGTTGCCCTCCAGTCTGGGTTTCGCTTCAGCTCAGCTACTGCATCAGGTGGTCACCATGTTTGTTTCAATACGGTATGGCTCTCTGCTGCTTCCTGACAGGAAGGAACTTTCTCCTTCATTGCCTGCGCTGTCTCCCTCCCTGTGCCAGTCTTCTAAAAAACCAAGAGACAATCAAAACAGTCACCTTGTTACTATTTCCAGTCCCTGCTGCCTCCCTTGTGCTGTGCTGAATAGAAAGGTCTGCCTTCACTTTGATCACTCCGTGGGCAGTGGTAGGGTTATCAGAAAGAGTGATTCTGCTGAACAGCTCTTCACTTTTTATACTACTAGTAAAGCATAATTTCCTCTTGGTTCAAGCAATAAGAAACAAATAATGCTGAGCTATTTGAGAACACTTAAGCATTTTCAGCATTCCTCTAAATTTGCTCTAAATAAATATAATTCAAGTATTGTCTGAAAAGTAGATCTGTCACCTGATGTGCAAATGTCAGTAGTCACATGCTCAGGAGTATGTGTAGTCAATTTGCAGTATTCCACAGGCATAAAACCTGGTTTCACCTGCCCACAAAGGGGTCTTTGGATCTTGGGATTGCTTTTGACACAAATTTCACATCATTGTGTAACACTCCTAGTGATCAGCATCATAATGATTCCTACAGTGTATCTTTTCACTGCTTCAGGTAAAGCTTCAGTTCCCATATTTGTCATCTTACGAGTTCACTCCATTAATTCTTTCATCATTTGCAGAGTTACAACACGCTGTCCAACTGTAGTTACCTATCATCCCTGTCCAACTGTAGTTAGCTGTCATCCTTCAGCATTCTTCATGCGTTTCAGTAGCTTAGCCAACTTGTTTTTTTCCTTATATTTAAGGTTATCAATATTTTAAGTTCTTACTGTGACTAAGGCTCCTACAGTTGTTGATAGAGCAGTTGTTTTTGTGGCTTCATGTGCTTTTCCATTTCCTCTAACTATATTGGTTTGTCCAGATTGATGTGCTTTGCAGTGTGTCACTGCTATTTCTTTTGGTTTATTAACTGCTTGAAGTAATTTCATAATCTCTGTACTACAACGTGTAGGATTTCCTTGTGAAGATAGCAGTCCTCATTCTTTCTAAATTGCACTATCAGCTTGTATTATTCCAAAAGCGCATTTTGAGTCAGTGTAGACATGAGCCTGCTTTCCTCCTGATAGTTCCAGGGCTTGAGTTAAAGCAATTAATTAAGCTTTCTGAGCAGATGTGTTCACTGGTAGCAGTTTTGCCTCTATTACCTCTTGCAGACTAACAGTGGTGTACCCAGCCTTCTGTTCTCCTCTCACAGAAGAGTTGCATCCATCAGTAAACAGCTCCCAGCTGGGATTCTGTTAAGGAGTAACCTTCAGGTCTGAATAGCTGGAGTATACCTGTTTACAAACTATTAAACAATCATGTGCCAGTTAACTTTCACGTGAAGATAATAATGATGCTGGATTTGGGGCACTGCACGCTTTGATAGCGATATCCTCTTGTTTGAGGAAGTACTGCTTGGTATTGTGCCATCCTGCTTAGGAATAACCAATTGTGTCCTTTATGCTCCAGCACCATTACAACAGCATGTGGTACGCTAACAGTATTGTTCAGTCCCAAGGTCAATTTTCTTGCCTCTTATATTAACAGCACAGCAGACTGACCCTTGTATGTAGCCTCCCATTGTTCTCCAGAGCCTTTTCCAGCACAATTATTTTCCTCTGGCAAAAACAAAGTGTTCAACAGCACTTTTATATCTCTTATCTGGAGTGTGATTTTCAACTATCATTTTAAAAGATCAGTATATTTTCTCCGGGTTTTCACAGTAGGATCCAGCAGATTCTTTTCAATTCATCAAATCTGAAGTAGAAAAAGGAGCCTCGACGTGCCATTCTGGTTCTATTGCCTGTCACAGTGGTGCCAGTACTACAGGGTTCTGTTGTGCTCGATTTGTACATGCAGTGGGACTAACTTCTCTATTCCATTCACTGCTGTTGCCTCTCTTAGTCATCAGTGACACATCTTCTTCATCCCTTTTGTTTGTTTTTTTTTCCAATATTGCAAGCAGAACAACATTGAGGTAATTTCTTATTGTCATCCATTACCATTAAGATATTGAAGTTAGATAACAACAGTTGACATTTTTTCCTTGTTTTGTGATCATTTTTCAAAGAAAAATCTGCATATGGGATGTCACCCTCATTATCCTGCCTTCTGCAAACTTAATAATTTCCAAGATTGTATTATGATTCAAATTTGGCATTTCTGGCCATTCTCCTCATCCTCCAATTTATATTACAGCCACTGTTGAGTACAATATTCTCTTAATTTTTTCTGTTAGAGGATCCCTACCACACTTATTCCTGTGTTTGAGGATGTATCCTCGTAGAGAGCAAGAGAGCACCCCATAGACTGTCCTGTTCCCATACTGTTACTCACAAAGAATGTTTTTACCAACCGTGCTTTCATGCACTCCAGTCATCACTGTCCAAACATGCACAATGCTTACAAAATAACTTTACCTAACATTACCATGCTCCGTGCAATGTTTCTTTATCGTGCACTGCACCTTAGAGTCGCCTATCACTCCAGACAGGGAGATGAACAATAGATTGGTGCATGCTTGGAGTTCAGAGAACATTTTTTCTCCTCCAGCAGCCAGCAAGTCTATCCACGCAAAGCTTCACAGCTGTCCCATCGGGGTCTCCAGAAAACTGCTTTCTGAAAAGTAGATTCAGTGCCTTGTGTTCAGTATTTCAATGAAAGCAACATGTCTCAGGAGAGACATTGCTTTTTGGTCTATGGATGTGATCTTTGCTATTATAACGAAGGTGGTTCAGCTAAGGATACATGGACCTTGAGTTTTCTTGCCAAGTTGGCAACATCCTCAAAGCATCCTGATTTATGTTCTCCTCAAGGCCTACTGGCTCTGGGATGTCTCTGCTTAAAGGATGCCAAGATGCCAACTGTTTATTCTTCTGATACCCACTACAATGTTAGCTCAGTTTTTAGAGTAAGCTTTCATTGCAAGTGTTCATAGATGTTACTTCGGCAGTGTGAGCCTCCCAAATCTGATAAACCACCAGGTAAATGGTATTTGAGACTGTTTCTAAGAAGTATTGTGGAGACTCATCCACTTTTGATGCCTTCTAGGTGCGTAATCTCACTTATATGGTGACTCGACGGGAAAAAATCAAGAGATCAGTTTGCAAAGTTCAAGAACAGATATTTAACATCTACGCAAAACAGTTGGAACAAGAAAGAGTTTCAGGTATGCTTCAGCATTGTCTTTTTCGCATGACAACACAGGCATAGGCACTGAAGTGCTTGGTTAGAGTCTAATGACTGATTTTAAAGGACAAGCAAAGCCTCATTTATTCTCATATATATATATATGAATATGATATATGAATATTCTCATACGTATGATTCTATCATATGTAGTCTACCATGCATCAGCAGATTGAAAAAAGAAGATAAAAATGTGCATAGCTCTAATGGAGGGCACATTGCTATAGAAACTGGCAAGCCTGTGTTATCCTTGGAGTACTGAATGGCTTGCTGCTTCAGGTCCTGTCAGTTGTGATTCTTCAATGAGTCCTTTTGACTGAGAGACCATGACTTACACTCAAGTGCCATATGGTATCTCCTGGGTTTATGCTTTATTAGTGCCCCTGCATTCGTATTTAGTGTGTGTTTCTTTGCATCGTAGGGTAGTTTGAAACATACTTTTTTTGCCTAATCTCACTGAAAGTAGTCTTTCCTCCTAAAGGAGAAACTTCAGTTACTGTATTAACTTGGATTATCCTCAAAGTATTCAGTAACAAATTAATTTTAGATAGAATCAATCACATGGACTTGCTGATGGCTTATTTTACCCCAGCTGTGGAGTTTCTATGTCTTAATGCATGTAACAGCACTAGGAATTGTATTTGCTACAGGTAGAATTGGTGTAGGATGGCTATGGGGAAGACAGCAGCATGAACAGTGTGTTGTGAAACCAGGACGTAGCCACATAGTCATGATGTAAAGGTGCTGGATAACCAACCAAAAGCCCATTTACACTGAAGAAACTTGACTGGCAGAAGTAGTGCTAAAATATGTACTACTTAAAAGCGGTTTTTGCCTAGACATGGATTGCTTGACTTCAATCTAATTTGTTTTTACCTTTAGGTGTGCCTTCATTCTCCGCAGTGGAAAATGCAGTGTTGTTCAATAGTCCATCTTTGGGTCCCAATGCCCCTAAGATAGAGGATTTGAAATGGCATTCAGCATTCTTCAGGAAACAAATGGGCACATCTCTGACACACTCTTTGAAAAAATCACATAAAAGAGATAGAGTAAGTAATAGCTCTGGGAACAGTAGCAAATCCACGCTGAGGCAGCCCAGCCAAAGGGGAGATGGTGCAGCTCCAGGAAGCTTTTTAAATTTTGACAAGAGCTTTGCAGAAACACGGATTGTATCAGCACAGCAGAAAAATGGCATAGTTATGCCAGACCACAGAAAAAGAAGAGACAATCTTCCACAATGTGAAGTAATCAAGACAGAACTAAAGGAAAAAACTAAACAAAACCACAAACCACTGAGACCCACAGAACTCTCTCAGAGGCAATCAGAAAACAAAAGGGCTGTGAACCACTCCAGTGGTAGGTCTGCACCTGGCACACGGAGGGACATAGTGCCTAAATGCAATGGGGGTCTTGTCAAAATAAACTCCAATCAGACAGTAGTTAAAGTGCCTACGACACCCACGAGCCCAGTGAAAAACTGGGGCGGATTCCGAATTCCAAAGAAGGGGGAGAGGCAACAGCAAGGTGAGAGTCCAGAGGAGACCTGCCGCCAGAACTCCAGTTACCCCTACCTGGGCGTGGGCAGAGTTTCACCGAAGGATAGGGCAAAAAGCAAGCCGAAGCCTGACAGTGAGAATGATGGGTACGTCCCTGATGCTGAAATGAGCGACTCTGAAAGCGAAGTAGCTGAAAAAAAGTGCAGACAGCAGAGGCTCAGCCCAAACAGCACTATCAGCAGAAGGACGGACATTATTAGGAGAAGCATCCTGGCATCCTGACCGGCAATGGGGCACCGTGGTCAGTGGTCACTGCCTACAAACCAACTTCACTTTATTTATTGGTGTGAGAGGGGAGAGTTCTTAGACATGGCTACAGACCGACAAACAGATAACCCATTATTCCTGAGCTGTGTAAACATGTTTACATACACTTAAAGCTGGATTGTTTTGTTCCCCCAACCCATTCTGTGACCAGTTTGAATCTCCTTTATTTGAAACTTCCCTGAGTAAGCAGAGAATTGGCATCACTACTAAAACAGGATTTGTGATAAACACTAAAGTAAGTCACAAAATCATCTAGGGGGATAGGGTGGGTGGTGGAGAATTAGGCAGCATCATCCCTTTTCTCTAAACTGCACTGTTAAAATTCTCTTTCCTTCCCCTGTTTTCTGAAAAAGCACAAGCTCTTAATTTAACTAAGTGTGTATTGAATCAAAGATGGTTATTTATTTAACCATATTGCACTGCTATTCCCTGCTACAAAAGGTCAGTTGCCTTGGATGGTGGTAGGTCTTTGTCCTCACTTTGCAGAATGTTTGTTGCTGCATTCGGTTTGAGCACAAGTGGCAGCTTAAAACCCTCTGTAAGCTACAGAGTTGATGGGTAAGTACAAGACCGAGATGTTAAACTGGAAAAAAAAGAAAGGAACAGATCAGGGTTGCAGCTGCCTTACACTGCAACAGATTAAAAGTTCTCAGACTGAGAGTGTGTGGCTTAGTTCTGAGAGAGGGGCCAGGCTCACAGGTTACTGTGAATAACCTGTAGAATAACCCGTCAGCATTTCGTTACCTGCCTCCTGAACACCTTGACAATTCAAGCAACAAAATGCTAAGGCACCAGTCAGTAGGATTGCCCAAAACCCAGCACATATGCACTAATGGTAACGTATTGGGAAAACCCAGCTTATGACACTAAAGGGTTACCTTAAAATGGACATAAATATATATTTTTAAATGAAATGGAGAGGCAATAAATTGTGATTAGCCCTTTACAGTCAAATGAAGAAAAGTTATTCTATTCTGGACTAGATTTGATGGAAGAGGGAACTCATATGCATACTTTTTTAATAATTGCAAATGGCAATAACGAGAAAGCTATGAGCAATAATATTAACAGTTCATTATGATACTTTTTTTGTAGAGTGCACATGTAACAGTGGATTCTTAGGAGCCTGTAAATTTTGGAATTCTGCGTAGATTTAACTTAGGTATGCACTGGTGAAACGAAGGTTTCAGCTGCAATGAGTTAGAGAAACACAGGCATAAAGAACAGGAGCCCAGCCTGCTGTTAACCACACTCACTTGCATTTTATTGTTAGACCCTTGCCTCTCGAGCAGGGAAGATTTTAAAGTACAGTAGAACTCTGCCGTAACTGAGTCTTCCAGAGGATTCAATCAGAAAAAGGCTTATTAACACCCTGTCTTGCTATGCAAGTTGTAACTACTTAAATATTGCAACAGAATGTATCCCTGTCGTTTATGTTTCAAAACTCTGAAGTCTCAACCTTTTGATATCTTCTGGGGTGATGCTGAGGAAAGGAAGTTTGGTTTAACACGGTGTTTTTTTAAAAGACCATTGCTGGACCCAGGAATTTGGATTGACCTCATGACTTGCACAGATTGAAGCCCAACAGGGCACTGGTGAATGTGACATTACGTAGTTGCTTTTGGGATCTGTTAAGATAGAAGTACTGGTGTGATCAAAAAGCAGCAGACAGACGGAAGGTAACTGCAGGTAGCTCTACCTGACGTACAGCTACACATTTAAGGCAGGCATTGTTTCGGTAAGAAGCTCACGACCACGTGGGGAATTCTTCAAGCCATAGATGGAATAATCTAAATTCTGATTCTAGCGTGTAACCTCGCTCCGGTGTGAAAGAGGTACCTTGTGAATTTGCACTATTCCGATTGCTAATGTTGTGCAGAATGAATGCCTTACCTGTTTTGCTCCCCGATGTTTAGGTTTATAAGCTTTCTAATGTTTCGAGTTATGCTGAACCAAAACCAAAAAGCGCTTCCCCCATCCCCATTCCAAGAGCAGTCGGATGGCTGCAGGATGGCCAGCTCGGTAGGATAGCTGTGTCCCCAGCGCTCAGCAGGAGGTGGCAGAGGTACAGCAGTGACCATACAGCACCCCCGTACTTTGTTGGGATGGAACCGTTTGCTGAATGTGTGTTCCTAGGCATTACCTTTGCTTGTGCAGACTGACCGAGAGACCTTTGATGCGGATTGACAGAGTGCGTCAGCCCCTGGACTGGTTGGACTTGTGTCAGTTGCCTGGGACGGCAGTCGTTAGGTTACGAACTCACGCAGATCTCAGTGAAGGGTTGTTACCATATGTGTTGTGCATCAGTCTGAATTGCGGACGTTGGAACAAATGGTCGTTAATTTGTAAAACCGTGTACAGAAGATTTTTCACTACGTGCCTGGCTTTGGTGTCCATTCGGCTGAAATTAAACGAGAAGGTGCATGAAGAGGAGCAGGTAGAAACAAAAAGTATATGTAGAGATGACTATTTTATATTACATGGCCCAATCCTGTATTTATTTCTCCCCTTTTTTGAAGTATTTATAAAGACCTAGTCGAAGACAGCTGTATTTTTTGTTAAGATATTCGGTAGAATTGTGCCTTTTTGTCCGTACGTGAATAAATGCTGTACATTTTTGCAGTACGCTCACAGCGGTGTTTTAGAACGCGCAGTAATCACTGAGGTGCCATTCGGCACGAGCCGGTCCCGGCGGCTCCTTCAGCCTCTGCCCGCCAGCGCTGCGGGCGCGGCGCTCTGCGCGCCTTCCGTTGGAGGCGGGGCCGCGCTCAGCGGAAGGGGCGGGGAGGGAGCGGCGGGGCGCGCCGGACGCCGTGGCCATGGCGGCTGTCGTGGAGGAGCGGCGGGAGCCGGAGCGGGAAGGGGGTTGCGAGCACTACCGGCGGGGCTGTCTGCTGCGGGTGAGGTGGCGGCGGCGGCGGCGGGAGAGGGGAGGGCCGCGGGGCTGTGCGGGCGTTGAGCCGCTCGGTGCCGTTGCAGGCGCCGTGCTGCGGGAAGCTGTACCCCTGCCGGCTGTGCCACGACGGCGCCGAGGAGCACCGCCTGGACCGCTTCCGCGTGGCCGAGGTGCAGTGCGCGCGCTGCCGCCTCCTGCAGAAGGTGCGCGGGGGCGGGGGGGCGCTGCCGCGAGGGGGCGCCGCCGCCATTTTGGGCGGGGGCGGGCGGTGCTCCGCTAACGGCGACGTAACCCCTCCGCCGGCAGCCCCAGCAGCGCTGCGAGGGCTGCGGCAGCCTTTTTGGGGAGTACTACTGCGACGTGTGCCACCTCTTCGACCGCGACAAGAAGCAGTACCACTGCGGCGAGTGCGGCATCTGCAGGTGCGGCCCGGCGCCGGGGGTTGGTCGCGGCGGGGGAGTGGCGGCTGCTGAGCCGTTATCGTTCCCTAGGATCGGCCCCGAGGAGGACTTCTTCCACTGCTCCAAATGCAACTTGTGCCTGAGCCTGAGCCTGCGGGGAAAGCACAAGGTGAGGGCGCGCCGGTTCGGACCTTGTGAAAGAGAACGGTTGTGCGTTCTTCGGAACGGCTGCCGAGGAGCCGGAGCCGCGCGGGCGGCGGGAACGGCAGCGGCCGGCCTGCCCTCAGTGCCGCGGGCGGCCCGCGGCTGGGGCTCAGCTGGCACCTCGGCACCTGCCGGCCCTGAGCGCTGCTGCACAGGGCGGGTGTGGCAGTGTGCGGTGCTGTTCTGCTGCCTCGTTGTTATTGTTCACGCAGCCGTCTGCTGAGCCTCAGAGAGTCAAACCTGTGTGAAAGCAGTCATGTTTCACGCGTCTTCTCTTATCATCCTAAAGGAATTCTTGCGTTCAAAAAAAAAAAGTTGCTATCCGTACAGCAGTGTAACTTTGTCTTTGTCTTTGCTAAGTGCATCGAAAATGTCTCCAGGCAGGATTGTCCCATATGCTTGGAGGTGAGCTACTTTGCTTTTGGCTCTCGGAACTGTGTTGGGCTGTGCTGTGAGCTGTGTTGGAACTTACTGTTTTCTTTCTTTTGTCTGATACTTGTCTCAAAACAGGACATTCACACGTCCCGTGTGGAAGCTCGCGTTCTGCCGTGCGGTCACCTTCTTCACAAGTAAAGCTTTGCAGATATTTGGGAATTGGGAATACCTGCTGCCCTGTGTACACGTGCTGGGTGTGCCTGGTTCCTGAGGGATCATGCAATAGAGGATGGGCTCTGCTTCTTCAGGAAGTATTGCAAGAAGGGTGTTCTCCTTCTTCACCAGCAAATTGTGTTGGCAGAGGAAGATTTGCTCTGAATTTTTTCTATGCTCAGTTTCCTTCTGTTGCAGCTCAATGGCAGGAATCCCATAGCGATTCCCCCCTTTGGTGCAGAAAGCAGTTGCATAGTGTTTTTATGAGGCTGGTGCTAGTTTATGCATTAAGTTTTAAATTGTTTCCCTAGGCATTCTCAGTGCTGTAGAATACTGTGTTACTCTGCAAAATCTGCTTGCTCCATTGAGCTCCAGTGATGCGTAGCCCAGTGTGCCTTGGGAAGAATGGATAGAGCAGGACTACCTGCTTTCCTTCCTCCTGATCCACCTGTAACCTCAAGATGTCATTTTCTTACTGTTTGTGTTATTCTGTTTGTCTCTCTTGTTTTTTTCCTGTGTGCTGAGTTAATGCCCTTCAGACTAAGTTTTCCCTTTGCTGCTGCCCATTCTAAAGTTACTTTGTGATGCATCTTTTTTCACCTAACTCACACTGCCATATTCTTGTCATATTGTTTTCTTTCTTATGTTACTTAGAATGAAATCAGGTACGCTTTGTCGCTGTGTGTTTGTCTGCATACCAGATTATTTTGAGAGGAAGCTTTCTTTTCACTTGAACTTGGGATATTTTTTTAACTTATGTTCTGGGGATAGCTATGAACCTTTCCCCTTTGTTCAATCCAGATGTGTTGCCGATCAGTAACAGTTCTTGTTCTTCTGAACTTATTGTGTTTTCTTTCCAGAACATGTTATGAAGAGATGTTGAAAGAGTAAGTAATTCTGAACCTCTCTTGTGTGGTAGTAATCTGAGTAGATTACTTGAGGCAGTGATCACAATGTCATTCCAGTACCCAGTAACTTTAGGACAGCTCCTAAAGGGAGAGAAGGCTTTTAATTCCCAGCTCTGATTGAAGGAATGTTTCTGCTTGCTGTGTTTTTCTCTGATTTGTATGATGAGATATGGTTTAGTGCTTGTGGTACTAATAGGAATGGGAGGGTGGTTGGACTAGATGGTCTTGCAGGTCGTTTCCAACCTTGTGATTCTGTGATTCTGAGAAACTTGTCCTTTTGAGTGGACTTGTTCTGTGGTCCTACTCCATTTTCTGAATACGGCTTTTTCCCCTTTTTGCCAGAGGCTACAGGTGTCCTTTGTGCATGCACTCTGCTTTAGATATGAGAAGGTACTGGCGTCAGCTGGATGATGAAGTAGCACAAACTCCTATGCCCACCGAGTATCAGAACATGATGGTGGAGGTAAGAGATGAGGCGTGCGCTGGTGCCTCTGCTCTTGGCAGCTCTGCAGCACACCCTTGCTGGCAGTAGAGAGCGCTAGGAACTCATCCTGCATTAGAAGCCAATCTGACTGCTAGGGATTGTTGAAGAAATGTCATGTATCGACCTGAGATGGCATCAATTGGATTTTAAAACATCAGCATCCCCTGCCCCACTAGAGAAAAAAAAAAACAAAACAAAAAAAACATGAAACAAAACAGCTAACAACAAAATAAAAGCAGAAAGTACCATAATATCACACAGTGGAGAAATGGTTTGGTGTTTGGAAGTATCATGCCGCCTTCTATGTTTGGTGCTGCCATAGCGAAAAACAGAAATATGTGGGAGCCTCACAGTCCAGAGTAACTGTGCTATTTTATTCTGCAAAATATTCAGCTATTGATTTGTGCAAAGCTTGCCAGTGGTGATAATTTCTGGTTCCATTTATTTGTATGAACTGGGTGCTGTTAGTTACTAAGACTTGAATGAAACTGTTCTGGTTGATTTAGTTGTATCTGTTCCAATTTAGACAGCACATCTCACTGGTTCCTGGAGTCAGGATACAGGGAAAGACCACATTGCTGCCTGTTCTTAGAAGGGTGTTTCCTTGACTGTCCCACACAGCAGCCTAGCTGATGCTGGCGGTTCAGTGGTTACTAAAAGCACAGCTATACAATGTTCTTGTTGAGTGTCCTGTTGATGCAACAGCCTCTTTCTCTCTCTCTCCTTTTCTGTGTACGTAGATTCTTTGTAATGATTGCAATTCCCGGTCTACAGTGCAGTTCCATCTCCTAGGCATGAAGTGTACAAACTGTGAATCGTACAATACTGCCCAAGATGGAAAATCCAAGCAGCCTGTGGAGTAGCAGTGCCTAAGCAACGTGCTGCATACGGCTGGACAAGGAAGACCCTACTGTGGAAGAGGCTATCTGTTAAAATAAATTGTCAGTAAACATTCAGAGGTGTCACAGCAACAGTGAAGATGTTCTAGTTGTGGTGCAAAGTAGTTCTGCAAGCACTGTCGTCCCCCCCTTGTGCCTGGGGCACTGTGTTGTTGGGAAGCTCCCTGCCAAGTGGAGCAGTGCCTGCTGAGGGCTGGTCCCTGGAGAGCAGAGCCCTGTAATGCCAGAGAAGGCAGCCTGGGAAAATAACCAGTGAGATGCAAAATGGGAAAGTGCTGTGAGCCGCTGCTGTCAGAGCAGAGTGCGTTGAGGGGACAGAGGTTGGGAGCTTAACATTGGGTGGAGGTGTAGCTGTTCTGCTGTTAGGGAAAAAGTAGCTTTGAGGGCGGCCTTTTGCATAAAGCTGACATCTGCAAAGTTTTGCACGAGTACATTTTGTTCCTTTGAAGTGATGTATTTGTTCTAGGGCCTTGGAGGCAGCAGTGCGAGCAGGCAGAAAGGGTTGAGCTTGCAGAAATCACATACCTTAGTTTGATTTGTCGACATGCATGCAAATGATGGATGCAGAATTCATTTCAAAAGCAGTGCCTGTCTGGGCAGCCCTTGTGCTGAACGGCCTACAAACCACGCTGCAGGACTGCCCTCCTCAAGTACCACCGCTCCATGTGTCTCTTTGCTCTGATTCCTTTGCCAGCCATGGTTGCATTTACAATGCTTTGATGTTTTTTTTTTTTTTCTCTATTGCACTGTTGTCTTACAAAGGCCTGGACGTTCTAGCATAGCTTGATGATTTGATAGTTAAGTACAGGCAGCGAAGCACACAGCATTGTGTCAGGCCGGCTGTCCCATCCAAGTCTGGGACATGTGCTGAAAGTGCTGCAGTTGATAGAGGTGCTCACATAGCACAGGGACCAGGTTTCTGCAGCCTCATTTTTTTTGCTTTTTTTAGTGGTCTCCCATTTCAGTGTGAGCAGGGAAGCTAGGACCTAGAAGTGTTATTTATCCTTTCTTGTGTGTGATATGCTGCCTGGTGTTCTGCAGACTGAACCCCAGTTCTTAGAGAATGTCAGAATGCATTGTCCAGTCCGCATGAAATGCACTAAGAAATGACTCGTCTGTGCCTCACCCTGTTGTAGAGCACCGCTTTCTCCCACTCTGAGCTCTTCCAGTCAGAAGCACCAGGAGGCAGATGGTGGCAGCACTGCAGCTCACTTTCACCACCCTATCTTCTGCAGTACTTTTCTCACTGTTAAAAATAAATGTCAAACAATGTCTTTATTAAAACAACTTATGCAGCGTGGTGCCATCACTTACTGTGTGCATACCTCCTAGAAATACTCAGGTGAGCTCAAAGCAGGGTTCAGTGCTGTTCCCACCTGCCAGGCTGGTGCTGTGCAGGGGCTCTCCTGTGTGGAGGGACCTCTGGAGAGCAGCAGGCTCTGTGTGCGTGCTCCAGCTCTGCAGAGCTGCGGGATGGCACTTGCAGAAAGCGAGCGTGAGTTTTGTCTCAGGAACAGCGCTGCCTGCAGCCTGCAGGGGAAACGAGTGCAGTCAGCCAGCAGCAGCACAGGAGGTTGCACTGAGCCAGAGTGCGCGGAGTGCGCGTCACCCTCCTGAGTCATGGTGACTCCATCAAAATAAGCAGCAGCTGCTGCCAAGCAAGCAGCAAATTAACTGTGGCCTGCCATGGGTAGATCTGATTAAAATGGATACCAGAGCCTCTCGTGCCACTGAGTGAGCTGTGCTGAGATGACAGTGGCAACTGAGGCTGGCTGTATCTGGGGCTGAGCACGCTGTCTGCCCTTCTGCCCCAATCCTGCCTGTCCGCTCCCTGTCCAAGCAAGGGTGCCAGCAGCACACTGGGTGCTAAGATGTCAGAAGACCACTGATGGATTCTGACCCAGCAATTGCCATCCCCACCGAGACTTATGCTAGCAGGAGGTGCATTTGGGTGGAAAAGTGGAGGCAGCATAGAGACGTGCTCAAGTGCTCAGGCATGCAGCGTGGCTAGGAGAGGGAATAAAGAACAAATTCCTTATTCTAGTAAACATATGGGGACAAAAGGCAGAAAAGCCTACAAGCCAGGGAGAACCAGATGCAGCCACTTCTTTGTTATCTCCATGCAATGTGCATTTAAAGAGCTGCAGTGCTCCAGGGCAGCTGCAGAGCATGAACAGTTGAGGCTCTGCTGGCAGGGGCTGAGCAGTGCACTGCTGGTGGGGAGTGCACTGCATGCACTGCTGGTGGCTTGCAGAGGTCAAGGCTGGATTGATGCATGTGTCCCAGCTCTCATTTCCATAACGTTTTGCTCATTACAGCAAAGTATTTCCTGTTTTTTTTTTCTCTGCAAAAACTATTAGGTAAATGAAGTGATGGTGTATCAGAGTGCAGATGTAAAGCAACCAGCAGAAAGCTCAATAGCTGAATAGCCTTTGACTGTATTGCTAAAGCTAAAAAGGTGCTGGTCAAGTCCACAGCCAGGCTGATTTTATGCTAAATTCTTTGCTAATTTTACTGCAGCTGGAAGTATTCCTATTGGGGTTTCAATTGCAAGACTAGCATGAAAGAAGGCCCTTGGTTTGGCTAAGCCTGGGGGACTGCAGCTCCATCCCAGCTGTACTTCTGCGTGAGGCTGAGAATGAAAATGTCACTGACTCCGAATCTTCCCTCTCTTGCTTTCGTATTTTCTGCTGCTCTAGCAAGGGGGTTTCTTTCCTTTTGTTTCAGTCTGGGGTGGGTGTGCTGCTCTCAGCCACTCTGGTCTGAAGGTAACTGGGGTCTTAAACCATGAACATTAGGAATACAGTGTCAGGAGCTGGACCCTGTGTTGTGCACTGAGCATGGCACAGAGCCCTGACTTCTGCCAGGGACACGTTGCACAGCTGAAAGCACACGGTTCTGAGGTGCAGATAAATGTGGTGGATTAAGGTGGGCAAGGAGCTTGTTTGGGAAAGAGGAAGCTGCAGAAAGAGCTGACCTCTGACACGGACCTGCTAGCTGAGGGATCGTTTTATAGGATGATGACCGCCAAATCCTACCTGCTGTCACAGCCCTGAGGTTGGTCCTCTCCTGCTGGGGAAGTGGAGGAAGGCAGGGATGAACAGGTGGGCAACTGCTTTGTGTTGAAGCCACCTCGAGACCAAGTGCTTTCCCTGCTGCACAGTGAAACAAGGACCAGATGGGGTGGTTGTTGCTGGTGGGAAAAACTCCACATTCCAGCAGGCTGGGGATGCAAACAAGGTCAGAAAGCTATTAATAAAGCTAAGGCCCGCTGAGGAATGTGAAACACTGGGCGGGGATATAAGAGCAGAGCATTGTGGGTCCGTGGGCTCTTCCCAGAGCTGGATGAGGGCAGCAGCATCTCTGAGGCTGTGGTGCTGCCCCTGCCCCCCTGCACAGATGCCCTCTATCCTTCCTCTGCAACTGGACTGAATGCAATTAGCGAAGCGCTCTGGGTGTCCTTGGCTGGGCTTTATTTATGATTGAGCCCTGCAACAGCGTCAGTCTGTTGGTCTGTCTTGCAGCAGGATGCCTGCATACCGCCCTGGTGGTGCTGGAAATGGGATAATTTCCCTGTTTTTTCTCCTTGATGGTGTCACCATGGTATTGGGGTGGGAGGGAGCTGCATGTAGGACTTGTGGCTATTTTCCTGGTCGTGCTGGCAAGTGGCTTTGTTTTTCTGAGTAGAACAAGAAGCTGAGCCCTTGGAGCTGTTTAGAGCTGCTCATGAGGGGTAGGGGCTTTTGATGGAGGTGAGGGGATCTGGGGTGGACATCAGGAGGCCGCTTGCTGGTGGTGGAGTCCAAGCGAAGCTGACTTTCACCTACTCTGAGCACGAGGTGATGCAGGATCAGGGTAGGGGCCAGGACAGGAGTGGTTCTGCAGTCCTGAACACGTGCAGATTTCTGCTGAACCAAGCTGGAGATGAACAAACAAAAAAAGGCTAAAAATATCAATGCACAAATGTTTTTGCAGCATCCAGGAGCACAGTTGGGCTGGAGGCCAGGTTTTTGTTGAAAATTGTTGCGAGCCTTGAGAGCTGAAGGAGAGAGGGCTTCCCTGTGCCTTCGTGTGGGGACAACTTGAGAAATGACCTTTCAGTGACAGCTGAGGATGACAGCAACGCAGTGGCATGAGCCATGGGAATAAATTTCATGACCCTTAGCCCTCATGTTGTGATTTTGGTAGTGTTTTTTGGTTCAAAGTAACAGTTTGATGCTGGAGCTGTAGGAACATGTTGTGAGCTGTAGAAACCATTCTGATGGTTGGATTTGATGGTCGTGGAGATGCTATCCAACCCAAGTGCTTCTATGATTCTGCACAGGGCAACCTCAGGCTGAGGCTGTCAGCTCTTTGCAAGTCGCTGCGTGCTTACCATGGCATTTGTGCCATTGGTGGAGATGGCCTGGATTGTAAGCAAGCTGCTCTCACCTGTGTGTTAATTACCTCATCTAACAAATGATTGTAGCCAGCACCTGTCTCAACTAGTGTCTGACCTACACCTCACTAAGAGTCTGACATGGTGGTGTTCACTGGATAGCCACGAGTGCCATAGTTTCAAAGGGAAGGGAACTAAAGCTGAATGGGGTGGGATGGAGCAGCAGCAGCAACGCTGGCACGATGGCCTCCTCAGTGCCTCTCTGGGTAGGGTGAGCAGGGGACCTGCAGTGGGATGTGTCCTCAGTGCTGCTGTGGGTACACGCTGTGCTGGGCGCAGCTATGCCTGCTATTTATTTTTGAATAAATAAAGTATCTCAGAGATGGGGAATCTGGCCAAAAAGGGGGAGGGGGAAGCTTTTAGAAAAATCAAGAGGCTGCTGCTGTTTTTGTGAATACACATATGTATTTCTAAAGCGGGATATCTATGCCAAAGCTTGTTGTTAAAGAAGAAAAGCTTCTAAGGCAGGTCCTGGCTGTTTTTTTTTCCCTTTGCGTTGCCATTGTGCTTTGGGAGGCTGTGGGGCATGGCCACAGGCAGTGCTGGAGGCCCTTGCCTCTACCGCAGTCCTTCTTAGAGGCTGCTCTCATGAGGAGCCACCATCATCAAACAGTTCAGCTGGCTTGGAGTGGGCCCTGACTGGGACATGGCACAGAGACATGGTCCTGCTGCCTCCCCCAGGGAACCTGGCAGAGTTTGTATGTGCAGAGCTGCTCCAGTGAAGCTGGAGGAAATGAAATAATGTGAAGACAATTACCTTCTCTGTACTTCATCACAAAATCAAATCAAAGCCGTAGTTGCTGAGTCATTTCTTTTACAGGGTGTTTTTTTTTTAAGGCACGTACAATGTATACAGACATTGGAGTTAACAGGAGTCCTTGGTGTGCCCAGGGCTAACTTCTGGAGATTTCAGCCCCCCAAGTTGGAAGCCAATAACAAGAGTTATGAGGAGTGGCTGAGGGAACTGGGGCTGTTTAGTCTGGAGAAAGAGGGGGGCTGAAGGGGGTCTCCCTGCTTTCTACTACTGCCTCCAAAATGTTGCAGTCTGTTTTCTTAGGCAAAAAGCAATAGGACTTGAGGAAGCAGCCTCAAGTTGTGCTGGGTCAGTGGGGGTGGGTTAGATTGAACGTCAGGAAGAATTTCCTTATGATGAGGACCAAGCACTAGAAGAGGCCACTGAGAGTGGTTGTGGAGTTCCCTTCCCTGGAGGTCTTTAAAAATATGGCATTCAGAGGCATGTTTTGGTGATAGGACTCGGTAGGTCAGATTGATGCTCTTGAGAGTCTTTTCCAACCCAGAAGATCCAATGATTCTAGTAATTTACTTTTGGGCTTGGACACTTCTGGTCATGAGGCCAAGTAAATCCATATATCCCAGCTACAGCACATCGCACTTTTAATAATAATCTGAGCAAAATGTAGGCATGATGGCCATTCTCAGAGCACTGAAATCATGATTTGGGGACAGACAAGCATCAATGGGGCTGCATCTGTTGGAACTGAAGCAGAAGGCAGCCACTGTGGGAGAATTGCTCCTCCCCCGTATTGCCAGAGCTAGCAATTCCCACCTCTGCATTCTCTCCCCTTCTTTCCCCAGCCTCGCTGAAGCAGACAGCTGAGAATCAGGGCCATCTGGGGAAAAAGAAGTGGACTCTGTTATTAAGTAGTGGGGAGCCTCAGCATCCCAGGTGCAGGCAGGGTGACATTTTGGATTTGCACAGGTTCTGCCGTGTATTGCTCATGGAAAATAACACTCCCTCCTGGGGTGCACCTGCTAGGAAGTATTTGAGCCCCTAAATACAAGCCCAGAACAGAGGGTGTCCTGGGACCTACTGAAACAAATATTGAAGCAAACATAAAATACTAGAAAATACAAAAAAAAAAAAAAAAAAAAAAAAAAAAAAAAAAAAAAAAAAAAA